CCCTTTCCCCTCCCCCTCCCCCTCCTCCTCATTTCCTCCCCCACCCACACACCCACTGACTTGGAAGCTGGGGAAATGGTGAGATTCTAAAAGTGATCATTATTTTGTAGCAGTTGGTTCTTAACAGCCCTAGTTTTGTGACAGAGGTGACAGGATCTGTTTCTGTGGCTGCATTGTCCTAATTATATTCCTAATGCATCACAAGTCCGGATAAAGCAATGTTATACATTGTAGTGTCTGCAGGGCAGCACTTTATGGTATGCTGGAAACATCTAAATCTAACATGTGTAACCAATGCATTTACTGTCATTAGTTAACCAAGCAGCCCATGTGCCTTTTTCAGCTCTCTGACCCACATTTCATCCACTCTCTGATGTTTTTCTCCTGCAGGGTTATTTCCTGAGTAAAGCCCAGAGCTTATGAATCGCGCAGCAGAGAGCTCTGTTTTGACCTCCCTAAACAGGGAGTTTTACCTGCTGAGCTAGTACTTTTCTGTTTCCTACCCATTCTGTTAAGATTTTAGCAGGAGATTCTTGGCTACCTTTTCAAAATACATATGGGAGATTGTAATTACTTTGGCCTGGTACAATTTTAGAATTGAGAAAGTAAGGAAGAGGTGCATATCTTCTGTTCTGTGGGCATTTTTAAAAGCATTCTGTGCAGCAAGAGAATTTATGTACCATATTTCACCATCGGCACACTTTCTAAATGAATTGTTCAAAGAGAAGTTATATTAGGACAAATAGAAATGACGACCAAGACCAGATGTGGACATTTAGTTAATATTTATGCAACACCCAAAGGGAATATGGTATTGCACAATAAACTAAAAATGTCTCGGGCAAATAAGGACATCTTTACCCTAATGAACTGACACTGCAAAGGTATGAATTATACAACAAAGGACTGGGAATGCAGAACAAATTCAGGGTAGGTCAAGGCGACTATAAAAAGGAATTCATTGAGGAAGTGGTGAGGTAGCAGATGTGTGGAACCTACTTCGGGAAAATAAGGGCTTAGCAGTTTTGTGGCCAGTCTTGTGTCTAAGGTAGAAAACTCAAGCCAACCAGCCTAATTTGCTTCATCTGTGGAGAGCAACGGTAGCTTTAAGTAGAATGTGTGTGTGTGCATTCAGAACTGAGGCAGCAATTTCATATTGGATACGTACACCGTAATAACCTAAAAAGCTATGTCCCCAGATTTTAAATAATCTCCAAGGATAGTGATTATATGTTTAATCTGATTTTCCCCCAGAGTTGTTCAAGGAAGGTAGAAAATGCAGGAATTGGCTGTTTCTCAGCCCTTTGGAGAGCCATCTGAAAGAGACCATGGCTTAATACACTGGAAGGATATTGAAACCCACATTGAATTATAATAGGAAAATTTGTTAAAAGCCACTGGATTTCTCAAACACAGCTGGATTTTCATCCTTCCATTTATCAGGGATGAAAGATGTACCACTTTAGGGTGTATCTTGACATCTTGCAGGCTTCCAATTCAGAGGAGTTGGGGGGTGGGGAGAGGAGAAAAGGAAGAGATGGAGGATGGTAGAGATATTATTTAAAACTATTGGAGCTTTGAAAATGGAGACAGCTCTAGAAAACACTAACAAGCTTTTAGCAGGCTGAATCCAAAGCTCTCTAATATTTTTATGCCTCTGAGTCCTCTTAATTATTGAAGAGAGCTGTCCGTGTGTGACTTCCCAGCATGGGGCTTCCTGCAGAACTAACTGAATGCATTCCTAAGAATTTTTAACCTAATTACTCCCTCTCTCCTTTGTTAATTCTTCACCATCCTTAACATTGAAAACAAATTGGTTTATTCTCTCATGATGAAAATTTGTGAATTTTCAGTTATACAAGTTTCCCCAAGCACATTATTTATTCGTTTGTTAATTATCAACATTTAATATCATCATCATCATTATTATTATTATTATTTTACTTTCTTCTATATGTCCAGATTTTATAGGCTCTGTATTTTATGTGGAAAACAAGATGAAGGTCTGTGCAGTCATGGAATTTCCATTCTAGTAACAATCCCAGATACCAATGCATACTATGAAGAAATTAATACAGGACGATGGGATAGAGATTGACGGGGGAGAGGCTATTCTGTCAAGCATGACCTGGGAAAGCCTTTCAGAGGGGATGGCATTTGAGCTAAGACCTGAATGGTGAGAAGGAGCAAGAGAAGGTCTGGGGGGGAGGGATATTACACATAGGAGGAAGGGAAAGTGGTAAGTTCCTGGGGAGAAGATGTATGTGTTGTGCACAGGTGAGCACAATGTGAAGGCACAGAGGTAGTCAGGGCCAAATGAGGGCCTGGCTGGCCATGGTAAAACTACAGTTTTATTTCATGTGCAACAGAAAGTCACTGAACATTTGTAAGTAGGGAGATTGTAGGTTTTCAAAACCTTCTGTCCAATGCCTAAAGCCAAGACAAAAGGAGGGAGGAATTGCAGGAGTAGAAGAAGACCACTTAGAAAGCTACTGCATTCGTCTGTGCAGGAGAAGAGGGCAGCTTGGACTAGGATTGGAGCAATGTGGATGTGATGGGATATGCTTTGGAGGTAATTGTCTAGGTTTTAGTTTAGTAAAAGGAAAAGAGAAAATTGAAGAGTATCATCATCATCATAAAATTGCTAACACTTCTACTGCACTTTCTAGGAACCTTCTAGGTTCTTTACACTTGTTAGCTACCTCTTATAACTACAGTACTCATAACATAGGTACTATTATTATCACTGTTTTATAGATGAGAAAACTGAGTCACAAAGAGGTTGGGTGACTGGCCAAAGTTCACCCAAATATTAAGTAGCAGAAAGCAGACTCAAACTCAGGCATCTGACTCTAGACTACGTATTCTTCCTCCAGTGTACTAGGACACTGTATACATATACAGATATATGTGTATCTCTATGTATGTATATCTCAACACGGAGAGACACAGAGGATCCTGATATGGACTTTTAAAAACTTCTACAGTTAGCAGAGATTATGAAAAAAAAAGGTGAAAGATCTGTCTCTACCATTAAAAATATAATTCCTTTTTATGTATGTTTACATCTGTTTTTAAAAATGTGCCCATTAAAGGTGGCATAATAGGTATAATAAATATTCATGTCATCTATGAACTATACAGATTTCACAGATTTCCTTGTGAAATCAGGAAAAGATGTAGCTTTGTTTTGCAGAATCCCAAACCATGGTATTTGGTTTTCAGGCCACTGCCAGACATCCAGGGAGCTCAATATCTTTCGGCAGTTTTGGAGGCTTGCTGGTTAGGTGCTGGAGACCGGCGCATCAGCCTGCAAGGAAATCAGGCCTATTTTCCGTGTCTTGTGGTTGCTATGCAGCAGGGGGCGCTGCAGTAGTGTTCATCGTGGTCCAAGGGAGCCACTCTCCAGCCAGAAAGGGGACAGAAAGCCAGAGGAGTTGTGGCAGGCTGCCCGCGGTCGTCTTTGGTCTTGCAACTTTAGTACCCAGAGCTTGTTCTACACGGGCCATTCTTCTACACCATATTTCATCATGTTGGATGCCTTCCATCTAGTCCTGCATCCGGGCGGAAAGAAAAGGACATTAGCTTCCCGCCTTAATAGGTTTAAGGATAGCGCGGTACCGGGTTGCACTAGAAGAGTCGCCACTCTGTGTTCTCAGGGTCAATCTGACAGTCCCCCTGAAACCACAAAGCCCCCTCCCCCACCCCGGCCCGGCAGTCGCTGCGGGGTGTGTGTGTGTGTGTGTGTGTGTGTGTGTGTGTTTCATTCCTCTTTTGGGGTCCTTTCTTTTTAATCTTACCGCGGGAACATTCCTCTCCCCATACGTCTTTCCACTGACATGGGGGCCAACGGTAGGCTCAGAGCTGACATTTCTCCCTCCTAAGACGCCCGCTAAGCTCCCCAATAACCCCTCTCCCCCATTTCGGCTCACGCGCCGTGTATGTGTGTGAGAGATCGCGTGTGCGTTTGTGGCAACCGAGGCTGCAGCACCCGCCAAACCTGTTCTTCCTGTCCCTGTCCCCAGAAGTCTCTTCAGCTGACCGGACTTACGCCTGGCAGCGCTTGGCACACACTGCGCGGGGTTGAGATCGGGCCGGTGCCAGGCGCCGCCAGGCAGCAGCGGGGCGAGCGACCGCCTCCTCCGCGGTCTCCTGCTCTAGCTCCCCCTGCCACGGCGCACCCCAGCTACCCCTTTGGGCTGCCTTCCAGCTGTCGCCCTTGGGTCCCGGGGGCTTTCTAGACTGAAATCGAAGGTGAAGGGAACAAGAGGAGGGCGGGACGTGGGTAGGAGGAGCCTCCAGCCCCGGGGAGGGTGGGAGGAGCCTCCAGCCGGCGGGCGGGAGGGAGGAGCCTTGGGGAGGGTCTGGGTGGAGAAAGGGGCCGGGCAAGGCCGGGATGGAGGGCTGGCCACGCAGGCGCGGGGGGCCACGTCGCGCACCCCACGCGGGAGCGGCTGGAGTCTCCGGCCGCCGCTTCTCACTTCACTGGAGAAGGGGCTGGGGCCGGGAGGGAGCAAATAAAGAGTGAATGTGCTGCAGCCGCCGTGGCGGCCGGAGTCAGCCCGAGCGACACCGGAGCAGTGCGCCCGGGAGGCGGCGAGGGGAGGCGGTTCGCCTCGTCCCTCCCACCCGCTCCTCTTCCCCTCTCTCCCTCCAGCTGGTCCCAGAGCCCGGCTCGGTCCGGTCCCTCTGCCCCCATCCCGCACTCTTCCACCTCCTCCGAGTCCCACTCCTCACCTAGGGCGCCCCGAACTGCCATGGGTTAGGGTGGGGGCCGCGAGTCGCGTGAAGGACCAGCCCTGCGCATCCGCCGGGGGGCGCGGAGCCCGAACGCCGCTCGCTGCGCGCGGGCGCCGGGCATGGGGAGCGCGGTGTGAGCCCGCACCCGGGGAGGACGCTGGAGCTGCGGAGACGGGCGCGAGGAGGAGGACGAGGAGAGGAGCCGTGGATTGGAAGGACCCGAGGGAGGGAGAGCAGGGAGGGTGGGGAAGCGAGGGAAAAGTGCAGCTGGGAGGAGAAGGCGGCGGAAGGTGGGGATTGATGCTTCTGTTTTTTGTTGCCGCTGCTGCCCTCGCGCTGGGAGCCGAGCCGGAGGGAAGGCGGTGGAGAGATGATTGCAGAGTTGGTGAGCAGCGCTCTGGGGCTCGCCTTGTATCTCAACACGCTGAGTGCGGATTTCTGCTATGATGACAGGTAAGGGGGCGAGAGGGAAGGGCGACGGGCTGCATGGGGGGACTCCGTGGTGGTTCTGCAGTTTCCCGCTTTCGGGCTGGAAGTGCACGTTGGAGGAACGGATGCAGCACCTGAAGGTTTAGGCGACACGTAAACATTAACACCTAAAGCAGACATCGGGGACGCGAGCGCGCTGGGCGGGCTGAGGGAGTTTCCGTTCCTAGTTTGCTGCAGGTTCTCTCCCTTGCTTCTTGGCTGTTGGCAGACGCTTAAGTTTTTTTAACGGAAATCCTGGCAATTTGGGAAACTGTTTAATGAACGTATTTTTTTTTTTTTTTTTTAAGTCTTAGATATTTCTTGTTGCAACAAAAGCACATTAAGCGATTTTACGTCTGGACTGGAAGGAAGCCGCTCCCCGCCCCCTAATAGATCTTCCCTGTACCGTTTCCTTTTTATTGATGGGACACTTTTATTTCCCGAAGTTAAAACACACGTTTGACAGTTGCAAAAATAGTGGAAAGAGAGATCTTTCTCTGCTTCAGCTTTCCTTTTTGACGTGAACAGGACTTTACTTTCAGCCAAGTTAATGCTGCTTATCCCCCCCCCCCCCCCCCCCCCCCCCCCCCCCCCCCC